TGCACGGGTTTTCTTGTGGAACCTGTGGGGCGGTAATTTGTCAAACCATCAATCGGTATCTGCACACATCCTAGACCCCCATATGGCACCAAAACAGCCGGACCGTGACTAGTTGTGAGGATTCCCAAATTGCAGGCGCGAGGATCTCCCACGCTGCTGGAAGTGGCGAAAAACCTGCCTGCCTGAAGCATCCTGGATTTACTATGTATGTATCTATCTATATATATATATATACGTATACGTATATATGGGGCTTATAGAATGATTAGAATAGGATTCTTCAGGATCTTATGGGCGCCTAAAATTATTAAAACAAACAAGGTGTTGCAGGGGTGCATCATAGTGAAAGTATAGGAATGCCTAACATGTAGGGGTTATACGGGAACTATATCCCTAAATACTGTTGCCCTTCTAGTAGCTCACGCGAGTCTGCCATCCTTCGGCTGCCTGAGTGGCCGGTGCCTCAAAGGAGGTCACAGAGGAACGGTAGGGCCGTTAGCGTTTAGGCAGTCCAGGGCTTACGTAGGGGTTTTGGGGTTTTGGGACTTGCAAGTCCGATACTTTCCAGAAGCATTTCCGACATCTGTCCTTTTGGGAGTTAGGATTAGGGGGACCCCTTGGGGATATAGACCCTCTAAATAAGGTCATTACGAGAGCCAGAAGTAGGGTTCAGAAGGGTCCCCTTTAAGAGGTCTCCCTAATACTACCTAGGACCTTTGCGCCTGCGGAACCTGCGAAGCCGCTACGGGCGCCTTCATTGTCACGAAGTCGCTGCTCCGCGCCCATGTTTCTCCGGCATAGAGCTCCTAATTAGTCGAGGGTTTAGGATTATGGGGCTTTAGGGTTTTGAGGTTCGATTTTTAGGGTTTAGGGGTTTTTGCGGCTATGGCAAGTTATAGGGATTTTTGGGGAGAAGATGTGGACAAGCAGTGACAAAGAAGCTCGGGGTTTCACGTGGGGCTGCATGCATAGCGTTCCGGGCAAGTCCTTCAGACATCCGGGATGGTTTACAGTGAAATACCCTCATAAGCTCACTCCAGATGTACGAGCTTTCGACTAGCATCAACGGTTATGTGAGCAACATGACTGCTAATTTGCCTGTGTGCCATCCGTGGAATTCGTACAAGGACTACCTCGTACACGGCATCGGGTCCTGCATAACGTTGAAGCAGCCGTGGTCGCGCAATTGCACCTCGCAGTTCCCTACATTCCTGGTGAAGCTTGCAACCTAAACCCCACAGCCCTAAACCCCCGACCCTAAAGCCTGAACCCCAAACACTTGAACCCTAGACCCTAGACCGTCCTAAAACAAGAGCAGGCGAAGTCCCAGGACCTCCCAGTAAGGAAGCACGAGGAAGAAGTTGGCGAAGAGCTGTTCTTCCTTGGGGATTGGGGTTTAGGGTTGAGGGTTTAGGGTTTAGGGGTTTAGGGTTGAGGGATTCAGATGGAACTATGGGCTGGAAGGAAGCGGGGGCTGTTTATGAAGCTTGCGGTCGAGCTGCCGCTGCTCATCTTCATACTTGCATCACAGAAAACAGCCGCCCCGGTAGAGTTCTGCCCAAACTTTGAAACTAATCAAAAAAATCCCAAAATCTCACTTCAGTCAGCCTTGAACCCTCGCCCTAAACTCCCTATGCCCCAAACCCAAAACCCCAAAACCCGAAGAGCCCCAAACCCTTTGCACTGCAGCTGTTCAGATTTGGCTTCGCAGTGCAGAGGATCATGACTACTCTACAGGGTACTATAGGGTGCTATAAATAGGGTCCCGCTTAAAGGGTACTATAGGGTTCCACAGTAGGGTCCCCCTTAAGGAGGTTACAACTTTTTACCAATAGTCTCCATTAGAGTTCCGTTTTTTTGGTTTAACCAGCTAAATACATGTAGGATCCTACAAGGTAACCCCCAAAAAGGAACTACCATGGAGACTATAGGTGGTGGGTTACAGGTGGGAGTTCGGGCGCCTGAATGAATCTCCCCAGGAATCCAGGCTTTCGGGCGAGCGAGGACGATAAGTTCTAGAGATTTTCAGCATGAATCTTACGGGTTGGGGGTTTGGGGTCTCATGTCTTGTCTGTTTATGAAAAATTTGCTGGAGGAAGGTTGGAGGCAGGGTCTGCAAAGGGTGTCATGTTTTCTAAACCCCTACTGGTAGCAGCCTCAAGCAATAAACCCTAAACCCTAAAAATCCCTCAAGCGCCAGGTTGAAAGCTGGGAGATGCATACACTCGGAGAACTGCTTCGTAAGTGCTGCCGCGCGGCAGCCTTCGCCGTGAACCCCTCCTTCCGAACTGGACGATTGAAAGGATACTGACTCTCCGTAGTAGTCTTAGTAGCCTTAGCAGTAAGAACATCGGTGCAGCGGTAGCGCTGGCTCTACGTATTGGTACGGCTGCTATTCCATAGTGCGAATATTCTGGTATACTTTGCTATATGTAAAGCAAAGTATGTGTCCATCAGAAGTAGCGATCGCAATGATACAAAGGAGCCCTCACAGTCGTACTGATGGGGATCCGAGGGTCGCCGTTCGGATCCGGGTCATGCTGAGCTGCAAATGCTCACAACTTACAACTATAGAAGATACCACCCAGAGATAGGCGTAGTCTCTCATGGTGTAGGCTAGGGCTGAAATTAGAAGAAACCACAGAAAAGTTTGGGCTAAAGCTGTTTCGAACTAATGCAAACAGGATGGGAGAAAGGCATTGGAATCGAACCCTAATCAAATCCCGGCCGTAAACAATCTCTTGATGTCCATCTGAAGCTGTGATAGTGCTGATACAAAGGGTCGAACCCAAAACTACCCTAAACCCTAACTAAACCCTAAACCCTAAAGGGTGTCCGGTTGACCCAAGCTGCACAGGTGCAGGCCTGTGAACCCCTGGCAGGGTCCAGCCTCTGAGTTTCGCATGCAAGGCTGAGGGTTTACCTAGAGTTTCCATTGTAGTTTCCTTTTTGGTTTAACCAGTTCTTATTTTATTTAACCAGATATGTAGTTAGGATCGTATAAGGTAACGCCCAAAAAGGAACTACGATGGAGATTATAGGTAGGATATGAGATTTCAGAAATATCAGGAGTCCTGGGAAGACGTGATGCATGTAGTGTTTAGCCGTATGTGTCCGAGACTGCTTGCATGACCACATCCTCAAGTCGCACGTCACAGCCCAAAGCAAAGCATGCAACCACTGGACGAACACGAGAAGTGCCTTTAGCTCAGCTGCCATGCAATCTTGCACGACCCTTACCGTTCGTCTGGCCGAAAATTTCCTAGCTGACTTCAACCATGGAGCCCCGCACATGCACGTCGGTTTAGGGTTTAGGGATCGTGCAAGGTTTAGGGCGTAGGGTTTAGGAACGTGAGTTGTAAGTTGCAAGGGCTAGGGCTCCGTATTCCAGTCGCTGCAGACTGAGCAGGCTGATTACCCTAAGCCCGCAAAGCACCATCCCAAACTAACTGCCTACACCCTTACGGCATCTTGCTCCCTAAACCCTACAACCCTAAACATCCCTAAACCCCATGTAAGTAGGGAACCACAGATGCCGAAAGTTTAAAGCAACCTGAACCACGCAGGATTGAACAGGGAGAGTTGGCGGCACGGCTTCTGAAAGGACGGCTGAAACTTTTCTTTTCTAGACCGGAAGGATCTTTCACATACCTATACAGCCAACACCCCAACCAAAACCCTGTTCAGGGTTTAATCGGGGTTTAGGAAACCTTATAAACCCTAAACCCTGAACCTTGTAACTATGAAGGCCCCTATGATTGTTCTTTCAGGTCCTCGGCCGCTACTGGCCACACAAAGGCCGCACCCAGCTCACGTGGAGACTGCCTTGCTGGCCGGTGGGCTCTTCGAGCAGCGTCTGAAGTCGAGGTTCGGGTTTGTAAGGGTTCGGGTTTAGGGTTTAGCGCTGAGGGCATGGGAGCTTGGTTAGTGTAGAAAAAACCGATTCGAATCAAACAGTTCAAGAGCCTGCTTTCACAACTTAACCTGTTCCACGATCCTGTTCTGTGTTACATGGGCCCCTTGTATGGGCATATGGAAACCTTGAACACTCCGCCTAGCATCCCAGGAGACAAGGCCTTAAGCATTCATTGGACATCTATGCATACAGGTGTGCAACTCTGCAGCTACGCATGACAGCATGCAGGGGAGGCTTTAGGCTTTGTAAAATGTTTAGGCTCTCCGAACCAAAGGCCCTCGCCACAGCGCAGAGTCGCAGAGCATGCAAGCGGATGAACATGGCAAATGGCAAGGCCAGGAAGAACAGACCAACATACGCACAGACATGAGGGATATCATTGGTGTGCCCAGGATTCCAGGGGTCGAAGGGATCAGGTTCGCGAGCATGTTAGTAAGTCTTTGCTAGTGTCCAACAAGCGGAGGCGACGTGTAAAGGGCAATGTGGCAAAGCTTTTCAGCCATGCGATGCTGTTGATTCATGCAATTCTGTCCAGAGTGGAATGCCCTGAGACAACGGCGGGGTTCGCTGCCATCGTCTTGTGAAACACCTTTCATCCGCACAGCCCGCCAGAAAAAAAACTGACATGATTCAATGGAACACAATTCAGCTCCCACTCTGTTGTGGCTGCGAGCTGCATTGCATGAAAGGTGAGCTCTAACGTTCCCCCGTCAGTACGCTCAAGCTTTCCGTTTTGTAAAGTCAACGGAATCCGGAGCAGCCATAGCAGGTTGGTTTGCACGGGCAGCTGTCAGCCGACTTCTTCAAGAATGCTGCCGCTGCAGCCGACAAACAGCACATGCATCTGCAGTGTGTTTTCTAAAAGATATGTTCAAAACTTCAAACTTGAATTCCTCTGTGTGGACTCTGCGTGTTTGCATGCAAGGGGCTGCCTCGGACCAGCGGTTCCTCGAAAGTGACTCGAGCACCTGCAACTTGCGAATCACGCCACGGTCGCACACACACCATGCCTCGCGGAACCTCGCGGATCCTCTGAGATTTGTCAAGGATCTCCGAATTCGGCCCCGCGCGAAATTCTTAAAAGCTAGCCAATAACCTTGGCTGTAATTACGGGCTGTTCCTGTACACCCTCGACACAGTTCGTCGCTTGGCCCGCATGGCCCGCATAGCCCGCAGGCGGCTCTCGAACAACCACTGCTTCCATGACGACCATCCCAGGTGAAATCAGAATCACCCGCTCGCGTGTTCGTTTGCCGCTCTGAGCGCCACAAGCCAAACCCACCAAACCCACATTGTACTCCGCAGTGAAGGCTCCATGCACTGTAGACCTGAGATCCTCACAGAGCTCCTGGACTTGAGTGTCCAAGTACTGGTTTCTTCTCTTGATCAGTATGTTGCTGCCAGCACTTATTCCGCAGGCCACGGCAATGCATAACGCATACGCGACAGCAATCTGTGATCCAGTCGAGTCGGCGTCAGCGCTGTCGAAGCTGCCGAAGGCTAGGAAGGTGCACACACTGCCACCAATGATGGCCGGAAGGAGGCCAAGGCCTGGCAGAATTTCATTCCAGTACCTGTGCGCAAGAGATGTCGCGAGCTCAACATGAAACTGCCTACATCCTCTACAGCATCAAGCTTCTGGCCAGGACGCGCCTTGATCAGGTTCTTCAGCTTTGCAGTAAAGGCATCCCAAGTCGCATCCTCCATGGAGTCCAGCTCTGGAGGTTTGGAGATCTCCTTTTAAGAAGAAGGTGTTTTAGCAAACAACAAGACACACCCGAGGAGGAAGGAAATCATTTCCCTCTTTACCGCCTCCCTCTGTCCTCCAGTCGGGGCTTCATCACAAAGAAGTCTTTCTCCGATTGGAGCACCAGCCGAAAATGGGGTGTCCCACGCCCAGGCATGGTGTGGAGGGAACGCAGATCGGGAAAGGGGCGGCGTTCGAGAGGCGCATCTCGGTGGATGGGGGCCGAAATGCTCTCGGTCGAGTGCGACAGGATGCGTGTCAGAAACTCCGTGTGTACCTACATATGTATGTAAACAAGTAAGTATATATAAGGAATCACGGATGGATGGACGGATGTACGAAGGTGTGTATATGCATTACTGCATTCATGTAGGTATGTAGGTATGTGTGTACCCTCGTACGTATGTAAGTATGCATAGGCTTACATTCATATCAGGAGGTATGTATGCATGCATGTATGCATTGATTGCACGGACGTGCGCATGTTTGTGCATGCCAATGCCCACAATCCACATGCGTGCATGCACGCATGGCCCGTGCAGATGTGTCTGCATGTCGAGCTGCATGTGGGTGTGAGTGCATGTAATGTACGTTCCAACGCATGATCATGTACATGTGGTGCTTAGTTCTGGGCACACACATTGGAGAAGCAAAGGCTTCTATTCTGCAATGAGTTCACTAGCAAGAACACGAGTCCAAGATTACGATGTTGTCGCACGGGTAATCCTTCCTGCATTGCCTATATACACAAAGTAAGCTTAACCGCAGCAGAGTGTCGGGTGCTTTTGCTGCCGCACCAGCCTTAGATCAGACACGCGTTTAACTACAAAGGCCGGCTGACACCCGCCACTAAGCACCGTCGACGCAGAAGAAGGGGGGCTTTGTTGGTGTCTGGTGGAATGCAGAGCTTTTTGGTGACCTTATGGTAGTTGGGGCAAGAAGAGAGCTACAAGGTAGATCTCGACAGCCCCTACTACACCAACCTGCGGACGCATATACGCCTTGTCCCAGTCTAAGGAGACGAGCTTCTGGCATCCCAAGTCTTTGCTGCTTACAGCGGTTGAGGTTTCACCTGAATTGTGACCCCTAAACCCTAAACCCTAATTCGCCTGAATTGCCCTAAACCCTAAACCCCAACCCTAAACCCCCTACCCTAAACCCTAAACCTGAATTGTGACTTAGACATGGCCCAGAGCAAGTTCGACTTCGGAGCAAGGGCTCGAGGAAGAAATGCAGTTTTTGGGATTCAAGCTACACTCCACACCCTATTAAGCCGCATGTCCTAAGCCCTATAAGCTCTAAAGAATGTGCCTGGCTTCCAGACATCGTAGTAGCCCTCGTAATGACCCTTAAAACCGTAAATCTTAAACCCTGGCCTTCTAGAAGCCCTTGAAGATCCCTTTAAATAAAGGAACCCTTAAAGCTTTAAAGGAACCCTTCTTAGAGGAATCCACATATTCGAACCCGGCAGCTCCAAAAGGAGGGCTGCGGCAGTGCTGCGGTAGCCGACTTTTTCCTGCGTCGAGGGCTCGTGTAGGGCTTCAGGGTTCAGGGTTTGGGGGTTTGGGGGTTTGGTGGTTTGGTGGTTTAGGGGTTCAGGGTTTAGGGTTTAGGGGTTTGGGGGTTTTTGGGTTTAGGGGTTTAGGGTTTAGGGGTTCAGGGATTTGCGGTAAGAACTGTGGAGTTCTGGAGAACTGAGTTGGCTACGGCTAGGCGTTGCGGTGTTGTTGTTGATTGGCTTTGGACTGAGCTGTTGGGGCTTAGGAGTTTAGGCTTAAACTAATTGGTTTAGGGTTTAGAGTTTAGGCGGCTTGACGGTGTAAGTCTTGGACCCAACTGTTGCATTTGCGGTAGACTTTGATTCATGCCTCTTTTATCTCCGATGCTGCTTGGCAAGGATGTATTCGCATTGCCAGCATTTAGCTGTTGTTGGCCGCATGCAGATGGTTCAGTTGTTTTGGATTTAGCTTCGGGCATTAGAGAAATGCACATGGCTTGCGGCCCTAAACCCTAAACCGACAATGTTCTAGGCTTCGCCAAGGCGGTGGTTGAACCGCGTGCAGCTGCGTGGTTGTGCGATGGCTGGGGGTTTAGGGGTTAGGGGTTTAGGGTTGAGCGTTGAAAAGGGGTTTCGGGTTAAGGGGTTTAGGGGTTTAGGCTTTAGGCGTTTAGGGGGATTCTAACCACCCCAAACCCTCAAACCGGAGCCTTCAACGTACTGAAGCCCTTGGAACTCCGCCTCCTCAAGTGTAGGGCTTAGACTTTAAAGTATCTTGCGGTTTCGGGGTCCAGAGTCTCAGGGGAGGAGTTTCGGGGTGGGTTTAGGGTTCAGGGACCAAGGAGTTGGGCTTCGGGCCTTTATTATTTCAACGCTCCCTACCACTTTGGCTGTCTCAAAAAGCAGCCTAGGCGAGACCAGGGGCTGAGTTTTTTTTTTCAGAGGCCCGGCTCCAACCCAAACCTGCACCCCTGAAGCCCGGGACCAGGTTCGGCAGCAAGATCGTCTGGTCCACTCCCCCAGTAAGGCCCTCCTGCAAAACGGCTGGCAGCTTCATGGAGAAGTGCGGATGTGGGATCTTAAGGTTTAACTCGCGATGTAAGGAACATGGAACGAGGGTGTGGGATTTCATGATTTTGGAGCCCTACTAGAACTAGCGAGGATTTGATGAGTTTAATGTAAGGGGTTCGGGGTTGGTGGCTTGTGGGGCGCTGTCTGTCTGATGATATTCATGTATGCATGCATGCATGTATGTCTGCATGTATGTGTGTACATGCATACATACATGCATGCATACATACATACAGACATACACGCATACATACACACAGACATACAGTACAATACACAACAAAATAGCACAATACATACATCGGTCTATAATCGAAATCTACGTCAACAACCGTATGTGTACGTGTGTATGTGTATATACATATATACATATATATATATATATACATTCCGGCTCTAGAACCCTCAGCCCCAAACTGCAGCCAAAGGCCCCAAGTCTGTGAGGTGCTGATGTTGGGTAACTTCGAGCGAAAGTCTGCAAGTACTGTCCAATCCAAAGTGTCGCTACAAACACTCCCCACGGCGCCCGAACAAATGGCCTAAATCCCAAACCCACAACCCTCAACGGTCTACAGAGGGCGGAGAGACTGGCTCACCTCCGGTGAAGACTTGCAGCGTTCCTCTGTAGGCCTCCCTGGAAATCCTGATGCTCAGCACGAAACCTCCTGCTCTTCGACATCAGGGAAATAAACCCTCCACGCGAAACCCCCGGGGGTATGCTCTGCAATATGTAGTCGCTTTCTATAATTTCATAAGGATCCTATAAGTGTGCTACAAGGGTTTAGAAAGAGGGTTTAGGGTCTGTCATGCAAGGTGGTTGGAGAGCTTGGCACCGCCGGCAGCCCCGCTGCTAGCGCTACGGCCAAGCGGTGTGCACCTCGAAGGGAGCTATTCCCTCAGTGGGGCTTGGGTCCTCTAACAGTCCATGTACTCACATAGTATATACAGTACATTGGCCTTAAAGTAGTCCCTATGTAGGTAATTTGGGGCCAAAGTATAATATGCTATCTGGGTACATGGACCATTAGGGGTCCTTTCAACGACAGGAAACTGCTACAGTGACAACAGCCAACAACTTGTTACATACAAGCAGCTGCAAATCTGGGCATTTCTTCGCAGTGGCCTGAGTGCTTTCTGACCTTTGTACATGTGCTTGATATACTGAGCATCGTACAAAATCTGGCTACCGGGGCAGGGGGTGTGTCAGAAAGTGTCATAGTATTGCATTACTGTATGTGATTGCATCTGCTTAATTTTCCTGCCAACATGCTTGCACGTTCGGTCATGCGCTTCTCATGCTGAAATCGTGGATTGTAGGACAACAGTTCATGATGCATGTATCAAAGCCGCTATGCTACTATGCATGTAACATCAAAGACCATGTTGAGTTCCCGCAGACCCATCTGTCATTGCTACAAGCTGGTGTACCATACCTAGGGTCACAGCACGTTCTCAGCATCTTGTCATGTCACATCGCTGCCGCAAGTAATATTTCTGCATCTGCATGTTCCAACGAGGCTAGACTTCTACATACTGCTTCCGAGCAACCACTGCGTTGCTAGACATATCATGCAAGTTCTCAGCACTGCTACCATGAGGGTATAATCCGAAGGCCTAAACCCCCAACCTAAACCCTGTACCCTAAACCTATTCTATAGCCCTGAAGCCTATACCCTAAACCTATTCACCATCGACGCGTGATCATACCTGAGAGAAAGGTTCTATGCTAGAATCGGTTTTATACCTCGACAAGGTCAATACCCCCAAGAGAGCTCGAAAAGGCCTGTAATGACAAGAACCCAGCCTTCAACAAAAATCAAGATCCCTCACTTCGGGAGTGCGGTGCCCAATAAATCCAAAGTTGCACTGCCATGTGCACCCCTTCTTCAGGATAAGGACTTACGTAGTATGAAGTTTTCCCCTAAACCCTTAACCATTTTCTAACGCGTCATTATAGGGCTCCGTCAGAATTTCCTTCGAAAGCTGCTCACATCACTTACTCCTGAGCCTCACACCCTTCAAGGACAGATCCCTTAACATTAACTCTTGTGACCCTGCTATACCGAGTTTGTGTGTAGCATATGTTAGTATATGTATATCTATGTATATGTATATGTGTAGATATGGTCACACATACACATATGTCTGTTTCTGTATGTCTGTCTGTCTGTCTGTCTGTCCGTCTGTCTGTCCGTCCGTCTGTCCGTCTGTCTCTGTCTGTCTCCGTGGGTCTCCGTCTGTCTGTGTCTGTCTCTCCCTGCCTCTATGTAGGGAGGCAGATAGATAGGCATGTAAGTATGCATACACGCACACACTATCAGTGGCTTACTCCCAATAGGATCCCAAAGGGTGCCAAATGGTATATACTTTGGCCCCAAAGCACCTATATAGGAACTACACTAAGGCCAATGCATATACTATATGAGTACATGGACCCTTATGGTTCTCCAGAAACCATTCTTGCCCCAGGGCGCCGTTGAGCAGCTCGTTGTTGATGTCGGTTCGGAGACCCGAGATCGCACCTGAGCTGATGTCGAAGATGTCGGGTTCTGAACGTCTCTGAAGTTTAGGGCATAGTGTAAACACTT